CAGTCTCAGTATGTTAGTCACCGAAAAAAGTTCTTTAAAGTTTAGGTTTATCGGCTAAATCTTGTCCGCCATATTTGTTATTGTTATTGCAACGTAAGCAGTTTAGCGGGTGAGTTCGGGCGAAAAGCAGGTGAGCTCGACGACAAACTCACCTGCTCTAAACCAATCAGAAAGCCGCTTTTAACACAGGTATGGGATAAGGGGCAGAGTCGTACTGGGGGTGTGGGTAGGTCAGGGCATGTGGGGACTCTTATATGAAACGTCGGCCAGAATAATGGTAGAAACTGTTCACGATGTATTTAAAATGGGGAATGTTAATTAATGCGTAAATTACCCCTATGATGTTTTGTATCATGTGAAGATATAGTTGGGATTCGAAATTGTCAAATATATACTAATGTATTGCTGTGCATTACGCGGAAGAGAAGCCATAGAAACAAGACAATTCGTCATGTTTCTGGTTTTCTGCTAATAAATGGCAGTAATTGTTGCACGATTAAACTGTTTATGACGGGAAGTGCCAAAATTAGCAATGACTCTAATTTACCTCGCCGTAACGTTTACCTCGCTGCATCGAGCCAAATCTTTTCGAATTAAAACAACTTGTGATGTTCGTGAACACGGCAAAATCGTTTAACGGCTTGTGCGAAAAAAAAACCCGAAACGACAGCGCATTTTACAAATGACTGGAAGCTCTGACGTCTCAACTCCCCCATAATTGAAGGTAACAAATTTCAGAGGTTCTGGAGTCTTCAAATCGCGGTTGGTAACAAGTTTTATTGTGGATATTGGTACTTCAAACTTCCCTTTTTTCGACCATATTAGTCACTGAATCCAGTTACAAGCCACTTTTGAGAAATTTAAAGTCGAATTTGATATGTGCACAAAGTCTTATTTGGACTTGGTGCTTGTTATCGCTAAAGTTTGCCATAATAGTTTTGTAAACTGAGCATCATAAAATCAAGTAAGTTTCAAAGTAGAATAACTTTCACGTTCGTGGGCGAAAAAATCATAAAATTTGGTTGAACACTTTTAAAATTATATGTATTTGCATTCGGCTAATTTTTATGCCTACTTGGACAGAGGATTCTGCGCGACGGAATCGAAAATCGCTGAAATTTTAAAAATAAATAAAATTTCAAAATTCCAAACCGTGTTTGTTTATTCTTGAGATAAATACATTTCATTGTGAAAGTAACGAAGAATTTCATTTTTTGAGCCTAGAGCCATTGGTCGGTTCTTAGAGAGATAGCCTCTTAAATTCATTTCCAATCGTGCAGAATAGACATACAGATTTTAGATGAATAAATATCAGCATTGACAATAATTTCCGGGTTTTCCCCGAGTAGTTAAATTTTAATACGAAAACGTACCACGTTTACCTCGCTGCACCGATCGAAATCTTTTTGAATGAAATCCACTTGTAATGTTCATAAACACAGAAAAATCGCTTAACTACGATGATATTAACGGCTTGTGTAAACAAAAACGGAACAACAGCGCATTTTGCAAGTGACTGGAAGCTCTGACGTCTCAACTCCGCTATAATTGAAGCTAAACAAAATAGCCAAATTGTATCAAATTTCAGAGGCTGTCGAGTCTTCAAATCGCGGTTGGTAACAAGTTTTATTATAGATATTGGTACTTCAATCTTCCATTTTTTTAACCATATTAGTCGCTGAATCTAGTAAGGTGCCACTTTTGAGAAATTTAAAGTCGAATTTGATATGTGTACAAAGCCGTATTTAGACCCGGTGCTTGTTATCGCTAAAGTTTGTCATAATCGTTTTGTAAAAGTATCATAAAACAATACAAGTTTCAAAGTAGAATAATTTTCACGTTGGTGGGTGAAAGAATCATAAAATTTGGTTGAATACTTTTAAAATTACATGTATTTGAATTCGGCTAAATTTTATGCCTGATATAGGCAGAGGATTTTCTGCGCGACGGCGCGGGACCAAAAAATCGCTGAAATTTTAAAAAATAATAAAAATTCCAAATTCCAAATATTGTTTGTTTGTTCTTGGGGTAAATACATTTCATTGTGAAAGTAACGAAGAATTTCATTTTTTGAGCCGAGAGTCATTGGTCGGTTCTTAAAGAGACAGCCTCTTAATAAACTGTTTTGTGAAAGTATTGCCGTATTTGCCAATGAATGGCAAACGTAGCCATATTTTCGGTAGGCTTTGAGGGGATGTCAAATCATCAGCACAACTACGAATTACAATATTTTGCATGCACAATAATAAATTTATATTAAACCAATCTCAACTAGGAAATTAGGTCACTTTGCCATGTTCACTACTTTAGGATTGCTGAAAATCTTTCTTGCTCAATCTTGCTGAACATCTAAGAAACATTATTTTACTAATATTTTCTCTCCATTGGTTACACGTATATCTATTTGAATATATTATAAAGAATACATTGAGTCAGTGACTGCTTTATAAGTCTGTTAACCACGTGAGCATTATTTTTGGGAATATCTTAGTACTGAGTTCTAACTTTGCGTTTTAAAACGTAACATATTTTTTATTTTTGTAGCGACAGAACGAGGTACACCGCAGTATTCGCTCAGTTCACAGGTTATCAATGAGATGGGACAGAATGTCCTACAAGATCCATCAAGTTCATTCGAGGGATCGGGTTCTCAAGATGCATCTCAACGTACGTCGAAAATATCTTCAAGTAAGGTCTTGCTGCATGTACAATGTTCTTCGTTAAATTAAGACGAGCTTTTTAAAAAGTCTTGTACTAGTTAAAATTAGTAACAAATAGTCTAATACGACATAAACATTTATAGCAGTTCGTTATTTGTTTTTTAAATGGAATTTTTCGATTTTTATCAAATTGTTTCGACAACATACTCGAACCGACCAGACCGCGTAGCTCAGTTGGCAGAGCATTGGGCTAGTATTCCAAAGGTCGTAGGTTCGATTCCCACCGTGGTCAGGCGTATTTCAAGCTTGCCCGGTGTGGATATACACTCAGAGTAACATCGCAAGCATCATATTCACCTGAGTACATTACAACAGCACAGAAAAAATCATTATTATTATTAGATAACATTGATATCGAAGGAACTAGATTCTGTTCCAAAATATCACATACTCGAACCGACCAGACCGCGTAGCTCAGTTGGCAGAGCATTGGGCTAGTATTCCAAAGGTCGTAGGTTCGATTCCCACCGTGGGGCGGATCTAGGATTTTTCGTACCTCAGTCAAAAAAATTTTGGCGGACGGGGCATTACCGGCGCTGGGCGTGGTCGACTCCAGCCGGGGGGGGAGGGCACCAAATAATTTTTATGCTGATAGTCCGCCACTGGATTTTTAGAATTTTCCGTACTTAAAATGCGATTTGGTCCCCCCCCCCCCCCCCCCCCCC